ATTGTCGAAACACTCTTCCGTTCCCTCCCCCCCCTCCCTCTCGAATTTTTTCACTTAGATGTTACTTCCTCTCTGTAAAGCCTGAAGTCAACTAAAGGGCTAATTATAACCATCAAAACGCTTGCTATTTGATATAAATGTAATATGTGTTGGGAGAAAGTGGCTGCATGTTTTTTCGTTGATCTTGGCAACCTAAAACCTGCTTGTTCACTCCTGAGAATATTGTAGGTCTCAAGGAACCAGGTCAGCCTCCTTTTAACTATTCTTTCCATAAGTTTAGCCGGCACGCTTGTGAGGGAGATAGGCCTATAGTTGTCAAAGTTGCTAAGGTCTTTGCCCTTCTTTAGTACTGGTATTACTATGGCAACTTTCCATTGATTAAGTACGAGACTGGTCTCCCAGATTTTGTTGAAAAGCGTCAGCATGGTTTCCTTGGCCTTTGGTCCCATTCTAATTAGAAATTCCGGATGAATACAAACTTCGCCAGGAGACCTTTAGCACTTTAGCCGTTTTATCGCAGCATTAAGTTCGCAAGGTCTGAATGGTTCAGTAAGTACATCATTTGGTGTTGCTATGTCTTCATTAATTTCGCCAAACTGATTAATTGGCGTTCATCTTCCTTAATTTCACCAAACTGTCTTACTTGTATCTTCGTTTCTTCCTTAATTTCACCAAACTGTCTTACTTGTATCTCGAATTGGAATGGTTCAGTAAGTACATCATTTGGTGTTGCTATGTCTTCATTAATTTCAATAAATTGTCTCACTTGTGTCTTTAACTTTTTTGAAGATTTTCAGACAAAAGGGTTTTTCTTTTGCTTGTGGGAATTGAACCTGGCAAAGCAATTAGCTCTTTCGGAGTCGTGAACCTGGCAAAGCAATTAGCTCTTTCGGAGTCAGTGGTAAGCAGCTTGTTTTTTAAGCGCATTGGTTCTTTCTTGGGTCTTTCTCTGTTGTTTTGGAGGTTACCTAGGAATTTGAAAGTGCGTTGGCTATCACTTTGATAGTTGATATTTGAGATGAAGTTGTCGAAGGATGCCCGTTTAGCATTTAAGATGACTTGTCTTAGGACAGCTGACTATCGTCTCCAGGCTTGTACGTCTTCCGTTCTTCCAGTCTAGGTGTTGCGAAGGGCGTCCCGCTTTCTTTTCAGTTCCTCCAGAAGGGCGTCCTTTCTTTTCAGTTCCTCAAGGTGTTTAGATCAAAACACGCTTTCTATTCAGTTCTTCAAGGTGGTTAGACCAAAACACTCAATAGTGTTTTGTTTTGCCACGGGGAATAGTTTTCTTTCCACATCTGATCATAATATTCGGTTGCAAAGTTTGTAGGAATGTTGGTTGAAGATGAGGGGACTTGAATAAATTTCATCCCTTGAGGGGACTTGCGTGAAGTTCATAGTCTAAGGGGTTAGTGAATCTAGGCCAGTCAGCCTTCTTGAAGTACCATGATAGCTTATATGGCACTTCCCTCGTCATGCTAAAAACAGGACACGCATACTGCGAACGATGTTTGGAGAATGACCACAAAGGGCAAGCCCATGGCGATACCAGATAAGATTGAGTAGGTAAAGGAAAATAGCACCTTTTGCCGCATTAATGCGTAGACAGATGCGAAGCGTCTCAAACTAAACAAAAAGCATGTCAGTGGAAGTAAGGAATTTATATAAAAATTGCATAATTATGTGCAATTAAATTTGCATTAAGAAAGGAATAACTTAATGGGGCTTAAATATCAACTTCTATTTCTTAACCATAAAAATAAACTATTTGTCACCCTTCTCAAGTGGTACCTGTTCCCCAGGCTATTTTCATCGACATTTGGATCTGCAGATTCCCTTGGTAATCTTTAGCTCCCTTACACGCTAGTGAAACCTCAGATGACCTAATCTAATTAGAGCCATTGAAGTGCCCAATAGACACTTTAGGGATTATAACTATGCCTCAATTTACTCCAATTAACAGTGACCTGAATCAGCTCATCTATTGCCTCTTGTCTATGGCTTAGCTTGTCCGTTCGCCATAAGTACATACATACAACCCAGACATTCCCCAAAACCCGCAGTCAACTTCATCTTTCCTGGTCCACTCTCTCCACACTACTGTTTTCGTGGGAAAGATTGGTGAGAGGTAGAAGATACGACTTACGGAACAGCTCATGACCCAACTCAGGTGGCTTAGCTGTTATTGCTTTTATTGTTGGCCTGAGCGCACTTTATCTCCAAGAGGAGCATCTGATGAAGCCCTGTTTCCTTAAATCGCACTTGGTAATTAGTGCAAACCGAGGAAATGGAATGAGGATTTAAAGAGAATTGTGTGTAAAAAATGTTTACGATTTGTGTACTTGCTTTAACTCAGCTAATTGGGCCTGCTAACTGCTTGTTTCTTCCCACCTGAAATATTTTAAATGGAGTGTGAGCAAATATTCCACCTTTTAATTTACTTAGTTAAATTTGTCCGAGATAAAAGAGGTTCTCGTGTGAATATAAAAGGGTATTTCCAATGATCTCGATGTACAACTCAACCCGAATGAATGTTTGAAGAAATTTTTGTCAGTTCATTTGATGTGGCCTCCACAATCACACTTGAACTCTTTGTTGTCGTTTGGCACAGACTTTGAGTTGGGATATGGCCAAAGACTCGTTAATGCATTGAATAGTTTTCGATGAGGCAACAGTATGTAGTCAGTTACTTTGGAAATTAGCACCTGAGACACTTGATCCAAACTTACCAATCCTTTTTTGGACAACACATTTTAGCATTTAACATTACAAACGATTCACAACCCCCATTAAGTTTCGACGCTCCTTTTTCAATTGAAAATGACATTTTCTAGTCACAAGCATTATAATCCGTTAGCACTGGATTAAACAGAGTAATCAAAAACGATGCACAGACGCTATTTTTTCCTAATGATACAATTCGTAAAATGACAGACTAAAAATCTTCAGTGACATTAATGAAGTCGCGTTTGGCTGTTGATTCCAGATTTGTATTCTAAGGCACTTGACTAAGTCTGCTCAAACAAACTCGAGGTAATTCGACTTTTTGACACGTCGTAAATGGATGATAGTAAGGTTATTCGAATAATCAACTCATGCACTTGACAATTGCCTCCCATTGGAATTGGCTCTATTGCTAACTGAATAGGTGTCTAATCAACCTCCTTGAAATTCAATTGATAAAAATTCAAGTTCACATAGGAAATTAATATTGTTTAATTTGAGCCGCGTTTAATACACAAAGCGCATACAATTCGGATGAAACTGGAAGTCTAGAAAAGTATGTTTATCTCGAAATTTAGTAACATCTGGACTAGTGGAAGACTGCACACAAACGCAATTTATGCTACCTGATACACTTCCGACCTGATTTAGCTACACTAGTGGAGGTGATGCATTCTTTCAAGTTTTGGAGAAAGACAACTGAGTAATTTTTTGGTAGTTAGCTGACACCTTTCATACTACTGGTAATTTGAGAGCAGTGAATGAAATTGAGGGTCATATTGGGCATAGGTGGATTGTTGGATTGTCAGGAGATGATAATAAATCGAAATTTGGCGTTGCTGTGAGGACATAACTACCCTAAGTATCTGAAAGAGCGTTGAACCAATCAATTATTTTAACAGGAGATTCGTGTAGTGCATTTCCAGTGTGCCAGGTCCAATCCGGTAAGTATTAAAAACTATATCAGCAACCCACAGAGTAGCGGATTCTGGTAAACTATCTTTTAGAAATCTAGATGGTGAAGTCTAAGAAATCACGTACCTGCTTGAGGATGGCACATCTAGTCGCTTAATTAACATATAGTGGTTAATCAATTGTGATTGCAATAATCAATAAAATATGGATAAGAATTTCGATAATTTTACAGTCAAGGTTTTAAAACATTGAAGGATTTGAGGGAAAGACCAAGTCGCTTGCTTATTGGAATTTCAAGTCTAATTAGAACAAGTGCTGCATACTTAAAAGGAGGAACAGTTGTTCAGCTTTGTTTTTCTTATTTTCTTATGCACTAGTCATTTTAACATAACTTTTTAGTTAGGTGAAGGGACCATCATTCAGATGCAAGTACTCATTTATTATTCCCCTTTATCCACTCGACAACATGACAATATGATCTGAATGCCGACAGTTTGCTTACCTCCCCCCCCCACCGCCCCACTAATCCCTCCTCCCTCAATCCACCAGAGTGCTTTCTTACTCCCAAAATACAATTAATCTCCACAATTTAAAGAGTTACCTTTCAAACCATATCACTGCAAATAAACTGACGGGCATTGATTTCTTCATCTTTAACCTAGTAGACACCTGCATAGACTACTTTTTCGGCTAAATAAAATTGAACTAACTTTAAGACCTATTTAAGAATGTATTTTTAACGCCCATTCCAGTTAGATGATTAGAGGTTTGAAGATTCGCTGATGAGAGACACGAATTCTGACACGAATTCATTAACTGCTACATAAGAATAAATTTCACTCGCTTGGTGTGCTCATAGATTGACAACTGATTCTTGACTTTGTAATGAATAAATTCAAAATTTATACAAAAGAGTTGCATCCAAGGGAAGAATCTGAGAATGCCAAGTTCAACACTATGAGGTCCGTTAGGAAATGATGTTGAACTATTTTTTAGAGGGGGTAGAAAACGGTCACCTCAAGTTATCATGAAGGCTTTACAAAGAGGTTGAAGCCATCCCTCCTGCCAAAGCGGAGAAGGAATGTGCACAGCCAAATATGGTTCCATCATGGCATTGCCTCTTAACAATCTTCAATAGCTGTCAGGTCAACGTTGCACAAATTTCGATGGGAAGCACTCTTTCGCATCCCTCTTATAGTCCAGACCTAGCTGCACCGAACTTTTTGGCCTCCTAATCTCAAAAAACACCTCAAAGGTAAGCGAAATGCATGGAATTAAATAGTGCCAAATACAGCCCCAAAACACTATTATGAGGGCATTTACAGATGGAATGTTATGCTGTGACCTGATCATACCACACACCACATACCCCATTCTTAACCGAACTCTTCATTTGAAAATTTAAATAGATATTTGGTCCTTTTATCATGCAAAATACTGGTGAGATCATCTTATTGAAAAGGGTGCATGAGAGTTGCCTCTACTTTACCATGAAACAACGATCTTCATGCTGCAAAAAGACTTCAGGACAATATATTATTTGTGAATCAGCTCTGACAAGGGGAGGGGGGTCCGTTTCACCTCGATAGAGCAGACAAATATAGTGTCTTTTGGTCGTACAGTCAGATTCGTGACAGGTGGCGTTTGCAGGTGAAAATTAAATGCATACTTCAGGTTATCTTGAACAAATCAAATTTTTTAATTAAATAATGCGAGATGGGATCATGAATGACAAATATTAAAAGCACGTTTTCATGATTTCAAGCAGCTAATCAATCACTGGAAACAATTTAAAATTCATAGATGTCAAACACCTGTGATGATATCAATGCCTTGCTCACCATATTCCCTTCGACGTCTATCAATCCTA